CAGGTCGAGGCTGCAGTGGCCAGGAGCATGCCACTGCACTCCAGTCTGGGCGACAGAGTGAGACTCCAACTCAAAAAAAAAGGAATATATATTCTGTGGTTGTTGGGTGAAGTGTTCTGTAGATATCAATATAAGTTCATTTGGTCAAGTGTCAAGAGGAGTTTCCGGATCTCTTTATTTTTTGCTTTGATGATCTATCTAGGATTATTAGCAGGGTATTTCAGCACCTAGCAATAATAGTGTTAGAGTCAGGATCTTTTTTTAGTTTACTTAGTAGTTGCTTTATAAAGTATTTATAAAGTATGGTGCTCCCGTGTTGGGTACATATATGTTTAGGATGCATATTTCTTGTTGATGGATTGAACCTTTTATCATTATGTAGTATCTTTTTGTATCTTTTTACATTTTTGCTAGCTTAAATGTTGCTTTGTCTGATATTAAGATCATGCCTTCTGGTTCTTTTATGATCCATTTGTCAGAAAATTCGTTTTCCATCCTCTAACTTTGTGCCTGTGTAGTCAGTCCCTTTTTGTGAGATGAGTTTCCTGGATGCAGCAAATTATTGGGTAATGGTTTTTTATACGGTTTGCCATTCTGTGTCTTTTCAGTGGTGCATTTAGTCCATTCATGTTAAGGCTGATTACTGAAATGTGATTGTTTATCCCCTGTCATGAGGTTCTTATAAAGTTTTTTCTTAGTTTTCTTTTAACATTTGGGCTGATGTATGTGTGTGTTTTCAAGTTTGCAGTCGTGATGTATTCTCTGTTGATTCTGAGTTCCGTTCTCTTGGAAAGTGTGTGGTTATTCTTTTTTTCTTTCTTTCTTCTGTCCCTTTTAAGCGTCTCCTATAGAGCTGGTCTGGAAGGTTCATAATCTTTTAGGGACTGGATGTCTGGGAAGGATTTTAATTCTCCATTGCTGATGAAGTTGAGCTTGGCTGAGTAGGAAATTCTTTGTTGAAACTGCTTTTCTTTGAGGACTCTGAGTATTGGACTCCAACTCCATCTAGTTTGTAGAGTTTCTGCCAATAGGTCTGCTTCTATTCTGATCTATTTTCCCCTGTAGATAGTCTGACCTTTCTCTCTTGCTGCTTTTAGGATTTTTTCTTTTGTACCTCCTTTGTGAGGTGAATTACTATGTGTCTAGAGGTTGGTCTTCTCATTTGATGTTTTCCAGGGGTTCTCTCCGTCTCTTGTGTTTGAATGGTCACATCTCTGATGAGATAAGGAATGTTTTCTTGGATAACCTTCTGGAATACCTCCTCCAAGTTGGTCTTCCTTTCCCTTTCTTCTTCTGAGATACCAATTAGGCATAGGTTCAGTCCCTTGATATTATCATGTATCTCTTGGAGACTTTGTTCTTTCTTTCTGAGTTTTATTTGTTTTTTTGCAGACTGGGTTAATCCCATGTTTTGGTCTTCAAGTTCTGAGATTTTTTTTTCCACCTTTAAATTTTTTATTTTAAAATTATGGGGCACAATTCAGGGTTAGGTATACAAATATTCATTGTGTAGATACCCTTGTTGATGAGGTGTGTCGCCCCCTTCCCCAGGCAGTTTCTCACTACTGCCAATCCCACCTCCCCAACTCCTACACCCCTGCAGTTTCCCACTACTGCCAATCCTTTTCTTATAGTATTACAATAGTTGTTCAAGGTCCACTTATGAGTAAGAATATGTGATACTCAGTTCTTTGTTTCTGT